GATGTGGTTCCAGACCACTGGATTATTTATCATTCCTCTATAACTAAGAGGATTCGTAAAAACAATGAAAACGATGCTTTAAATGTTGAGCTAAGAGCAAGTTTGTATTTGCATGACAGAGTTCCTGAGGCTTAGCCATGTTAAACAGCTACTTGGAGCACTCTTGAAAGAAAGGCCATTTTCATCTGAACTAGCTGCGCAGGAAAGAAGGACCGGCTGAATGGTGACAGCCACACGCATGCCAAAGAGGCAGGCTGAGCTGCCAACGCCAAATGTCAGAGCGTCAAATGAGAAGTGTTTATGGTGCTGAAATGTTATTTCAAGAATGGTTGTTTCTTCTAGGGTTGTACAGCAGAAAAAGATCGCAACTGAGTTCAAGACAGGCAGATAGAACAGAGGCAGATTTACAGCTCACCTACCAACTGTCTAACCTGTGTACAGGAGCACCCGCTTTCCAAACCAGCAAATTTGAGTTTTACGTTAAAAATTCTATACAATTATTCAAGTTCTTGGATCTTAGTCTTTCCAAAGCGTGGGCTTTGTAGTTTGTCTTCTTTGGGACTGAAGTGCAGGTCAGTAGGAACAATGAACAAAGGATCCTAAAAATGCCCATGCCTATGCCCTGGCATTGCTTCTTCCAGCACCGTGAAAGAGCCTAGAAACACGAACGCTCCACCTTCCTTGCTTGCTAACAGTGCAGCGGTTCAAAATCCTAAAGCTACAGCCTGCCGCTTCACCAGAGGGGGGAGAAAAACTCGGCCACCACCATCCCTTACACCTCCCCTTGGCAGGGAAGGGGTCAGCACTGGCATCTCTTTGGAAGACGCAGAGCCCACAAGGAAATTAATGCATCCCTCAGCATTACATGCTTGCTCTTCTAAACAGGAGTCCTACTACTGACCCCAAGACGCACAGGATCAGGCTCTGGGAGGCTGCAGAGGTTACACCAGATACGGATCAGCTGTAGGTAACTCTGGCTGCAAGGTCTACAAATTGCCTCTCCATGGCTCCCACACACAACACAGGCTTTTGAGACTGTGGTGGTTGTGGTTTTAAGTTTGTGGGGTTTTTTTTGGGGGTTTTTTTTTTTTTGGCCAGCTGTTCAATAATGTGAGCCAGCAGAGTTAGTGACATTTGTTAAAGGTAAGCAAACCTCAACTAAACTGCAAGTGCCAGGAGCTCAGACTGCATTTTGCATCCCTGGTTTTTAGATCCTATTTACAATGACAAAGCTTGTACAATCACATAGCTTCTACAGAAGATGCCTGACTCACTGTTAAGAACTTTTATGGCCTTTTTGCAAGTTTTTTGAAATTTGGTGTTTTTCTTAAAGCCCTGAAGTCAGTTGAGGATCTCAACTTTCAGTGAAGATCTCAGCTCTCACTTAAAAATAAATGAATCCTAAGAACTAAAAATGAAATAAAGAGTTTAAAAACCCACATCCCTAATTTCTAGACAGATTTTATGCCGGAATATCTGATTTGTGATTTTAGATGTTTGAGACTGGCAATCCTGTCTAACAACACACACTTTAATCCTTCCACCGTGTTTTACAGCACTTCACGCCACAGGCATAAAGCCTTTTGCTTAATGAAGCAAAAGGCACCTCCCAAGCTGCTTTTCAGCCTGAGTGCTAGTGCTTACAGCAGGCAACCGTAGACCTCGCTGCCACATTCCTCTCATGTCAGCGAAATGCAATACACCACAGCACGCTGCCTACTTCCAGACGGACTTTTTCCACTCACTTATATTCCCTGACACACATTCGTTTGAGAGGTGCAATAAAACAAACTCCTCCTCTTGCCAATATTACTTTAAATTTAATAACGCTAATGCAGGAAGAATATCACCACGGAGATATGGAACTGCCCTACATAATCGTGGTACAGCCCTTACTTCTTGCAAGGTTCATTAAGTGATGTTTATATTTGAGTATACTTGCAATCAAACAAGGATGAAAATAGCTAATTACTCTGCTGCTTTAAAAACCGTAAGACTGCACACTGGTAATAGTTACCTACTGCTGGTGTTACCCCTAACTCTTTGAGTGAGTCTGTAGCTGCTGTACACTAATAAATATTCCAAAAGAAAAAGGTGAGACGATGGGTTTTGAAGAATTTGATACTGTTTGCAAGGGTCTTGGGAGGGACCTAAGCATTCAACAGTGAGTGAAAAGTGCATTTACAAAAACTTTCATCTGCCATGTGTAGGTAAACATACAGGCGTGGGCGCAGATCGAGATATACTTGTCATGACCCACCCAAGGATGAGGAACAAGCTGATGTAACTGTGGTGGGTTTTGCACTCATGGAGGCCTCGCTCCTGCTCCCCACTGTGCTCCTCCCAAGGAGGTCACATCCCACACTGCGCTCCGACATCCCTAGGACGTGGGCCGTGCCACGGGGCTCTCCTAACATTGCTCCTGCTTGCCCCAGAAGCTGAGATTTCCCCCAAGCTCACGGAGCTGGAAAAGCTGCAGAACCCCATGATTGGGCTAAAAGGTCCAGAAGCAATTTGCATCTAGGAAATGAACAGAAAAATCAGAATACACTAAAATGTTATACAGCAAAGGCTTCTCAGCATTGAATGCATGTAAGGTTTGTCTAAGATAACAGACTTTTTTTCCTTCTCTGGACCTTCAGGTAGCTCTCTGCTATTACACCCATCTGTGAGTAAGCAGAGAAGTATTGATTATTACGTGTCAAACGAAAGCAGCCACCAAGTGTGTAATTCATCTACTGAAAGCATAACTAAAGCCAGCAATCCCCTGTACTTGTGGATCAAAAACGTGGGCCACAGCAGTAAACTATTCAGTTGGGAGTCAGTCTCCCTTCCCTCATTTATTATCAGCTCTCCGTGAGCTAATTCGGCATACTCAGTCCTGCTCCACACACAATTAAACCGTTGCACAGAGCTGTGCAGCCGCTTACGGTTTTCTTCATCTTACGACAGTCACAGGAATCAGAGGGTAAGAAAAAGCTGCTACCGTGCTACTGACCGAGGTGTAAGCTATTTGCCTAGCTATAAAGCTGGGCATTTAGCACAAGAAATAAGTCTTGTTTAGCGCAGACCTTCCGTTCTTGATGGTAGATGCCCAGCTTTGAGGAGAAATGAATAATTATTGATTTCTTCATCTAATGAAATGCTGTGAAAAATTTATCAGTTATTAGCCGATCCTTAGCTGGTAGAAATTGCACAGCAGACAATGGGACTCTGTCTAAAATCTCATTTTGACAACAAATGTACAGCAAAACTTGGACTTGATT